AATTTTGAAGAAAATCTGCTGACCGGTTTAGGCGCTAGCGTTGACCACAGACGGACAAACAGACAGAGCGACGTTCTGCCGTCAAACGATTTTTCGGTATGAAGAATCAACAAACCATGGATTCTGGCTACAACACGAGTTAAAGAATTTTTTTCTAGATTTAGCAACAGGGTTTATCTACTTCTTTACGAATTGAAGAAAGTTGATAGACTAAATAAAATATTTTGTGAAAATTGCAAAGAAGTAATAGAGTACTAAATATCTAAAAATATAAAACGAAAGAATTTGATATTGTGTTAGGACGATTCGCCAAGATTACAATTATGAAAACGATAAGTTTAAATAAAATTTAAATTTAAAGAATTTTTTAGAAAAATTTAAATAAAAAGAAAGGCAAAAAATAGGTAATTTCATACAAATCCGGTCTCTAGTTATCCACATGCATGCAATAGCCTCTTTTCTCTTATAGCTCTATTCTCTTATGCAGTAGCCTATGGACACTCAGCGCCTGTCGTCGTATTGTATACGTTGGGACACCGCTGGACTAACACAGTTCTAACTTCGACGTCTCGCAGTACAAACGTGCGGTTCTGTGTCCGTTGTTCTTTGAGTGGCTCTGAGGTTGTGAACCTTTGGTGATTTTTTTCACTGGTGTCATTGGGACATTTCGACTTCCTTAATAACATTGTCTCTATCAAAACCATGTAAGAAGAGGAAAATAGAAGACGAGGGCCGAGCCTTTAATGAATAATAGACATCAAAATAGTTCTTTATCCAACATAGGAATAAGGCGATTTGTTAAGAAAATGTCCGTGTATAATTTGAAACAGCATTACAAAAGTCAGCATATGACCAAGTATTCATCTGCTATAGGTGAAGTTCTTCGTATCAAAATTCTATCACTGAAAATAAATGTCACAACAAAATATGTTTAAAAAGAAAACAGATGAAAACGTTGCTGCCATGCGAGCTATTTACCGTGTTGCCGAAATAATAGTTTGTGACCCAAGGGTGGTGGAGGAGTAAGCAGTTGCCAAGCAGTGGGCTGTTTTTTTTTTTTTTGGGGGGGGGCTTACTTGAACCACTTACCTCAATAACTCAGTATCGCTGCGGATGATCACTATTCTAAGCGTAATAGGCGCTTTGATGTACCTGAAATGAGCTTCTATAATGCTCTAGTATGAGGGAGCTATCGTGGAGGGAGGTTCATAAGATGTGAAATTCATTTGACTTAATGTAATTAACTTGAATGAATAGTTTTATAGAATGTTAATTGTCTTTGGAAGCTGTTCGAAAACACTTGAATCAGATGATTGGCAAAAAAGCTTATGGCATTTACACGTAACATGACATGGATCAGTGGCGGCTGCGGCAGGGAGGTTCAAGGAGCACTGCCCTTCCAAATAATACACATACACCTTTCCTTGGCATTGTATATTATTTGATGCTAAAGTAGTTGTTCGCCACGTTTTCTCCGATTTCAGAATTTAAAAAAAACAACGGCATTTTATGTTATATTTTCTTCATTGCTTAGGGATGTTCGAGAACTGTGTTACAGTGTAGTCAAATTTGGTGTTGCCATAAGCTCAATGCTTTGGAATTATGAAAATTGCAATATGCGACATGCAAATGGCGGTTGTCTGTGGGCCCAGCGCACTTGGGAAAGGTTTTCTTGCAGGATGCTAGAGCTACCTACTGACGAGCTGAACTCCATCTCCAAATACGCTTTTCTCCGATTCGCGTACAGGGTGCAGTAGTGTACAAAACCTATTCTATGATGGAAGAATGTTTCTTCCTCCCCAAGACCTATTAAAACACTATACATGGAAGAATATATTTATACACTATATTCATTGTTTTCTTGCATCTGGCTTGCATATTCCCATTCAAGAATTTTGTGCTCTCCCTGACAATTGTCTCTGCAACCGCCACTGACTTGAATCCAGGTAAACACCTTGTGCATATTAAAACACACTGAATGTATTATGAGATTAAAATGAACTTGGCATGTGTGGTATGCTGAAAAGACAAGAAAAAACAATGACAATATCTGACAACTCGTGTCAGAGAAGCAGCAGACGCCAAACAGCTGAGCGAGAGGGCGACAATTTGAGGCAGGGTGTAGCGGCCCGCATCCCGGCGTAGACCCCAGCACTCTGCAGGCATGTTAGAATGCACCTATTCGGCCTCTCACGAGACAGCGTATAATTGCCATCAGGGCCATTGCGACAGTCGCTGTGTCTGGCAATGCTCACCATTACGTATCTATTAGTAATTTGATTATGTCTAGAACAATTGGCAGAATTCGTATTAGTGTTAATATTGCGTGATGGTGTGTGTCACTCGTGCATTGACTTCAAGTAGTTGCCAATAAAGTAAATAAAAGGTGCTGTCTAGTATCAAAAGTATATTTTAACTTAACATATTTTCGATTGCGTAATTATCATCATTAGAGCTATCTGAACATAGACCAGTTTGGTTGCCCAACCAGCCGGTGGCGCTGTCTAGCGCTGCGTGGCGACCAAGGGAGTCTCAGTAGAACCCCAATTTTCTGTCTTCGCCTGACTCTCTGCAATCTCTCTGCTTTCATTTGATATTATGATTGTTGATTCAAAACGTACATTTGGTAAGATCTTTGTGTAAAGGTAGCTGTTTTGGTCTCGCGGAAGCTAGTGTGCTTGCAGCTGGACGGCCAGCAGTTTGCGAGTGTTCTTGTGAATACGAATGTGTGTCAAAGCTCTTTCATTATTGCCATATATAGAAGGGTAGTGAAGTTTTCGAAATAAAATAATTTTATTTGTGTGAAACGTCGTAGCAATAGTGCTTGTTGCAATGTGCTGGAGACTAAATTATGTGCCTAGTGCAAAGCCAGAACCATGTGCGCTGGAGGTGTAACGACGCATAAAATTATGTAAGTAATATTTCAATATATACTTTAATTTAACAATTAATTTACTTGAATTGCTTACATTTTTATTATATGAATGGATGGAAACCAGAACGGTATATGGAACAGCCCATTGATGAGAAAGCCCAACCTAAGTTTAAGAAGACAGGTATATAATGTGGAGTGATATCTTCGTGCTAACCAAACGAACCCCTTATCCCATGGCCAAGAGGCTGGGACACTGCTGCTCGGCATGGCCCGTATGGCCCGCTTGGCTGTCGAGCCAAGAACAGAAACATGATTTTGGTTATGAAGATGTTAGAATAAAGACATTTTAAATGTTTTAAACACTGTGAATGCAGTTTTATCAATGAAAAAGAAAGAAAACACCGTTTTTCTGTTGAACAGATCACAATGTAGGATCAAATATTTATACTTAAGTATTTGAGTAATACTCTTAAAATTAACTGATCAATTTTCATTGTTTATTAAAACCTGCTACACTATTGTATTACCTACCCTTGATAATGCACGTCTGCTGGACATGGAATACCGAGAATTATGCAGCTTTACAAAATTCTGGAACTCAGCATTTTCGGCGAAAGAAAATGCTTGCTCATAGGAATCTATGAATTTCCTTAGCGCTGCTTCCATTTCCTTTTTTCCCGAGCTATCATCACTGTACATATGGGGCAAACCGATGTTTCGGGCGTCACGTCGAGGGAATCATTTTAACATCGACGTAAATGGCAAAGTAGATTTCAAGTTCTTCCTTCCGTGGATTTTTTTTTTTTTTTTCATAAAAGTTACAATTAGTCTGCTTCCTACTTTCTAGCAAAATGTAACCAATCATCGGAATGCCTTTTCTACATGCTCTACGTTCTGATATTTTCTCGAATTCACAGTTGAAGTCTCCACCGTGCGAAGGAGCGTGGCAATGGCGGCCTCCGATTTCATCATACGGTGGCTGAGTTCCGAATGCCAGCACTAATTATTAGTTTTCTTGTCTTTTTTACTGCGGAGTGATTGAGTCAACCCGTGCCTCATTTCGTTACGAAATATAGCTCACTCACTTCTGGGCTAGCCGATAAAAGATGATTTCATTTCAGTTTTGTGATTTTTTTATAATTTTCTGCGTCTTTTGCAACACGTCTCCTAGCCCTACTTGGGCACTGATGCTTGCGCACCAAATGCTATCTGCAGCGCTTCACAAAGACTATACACAAGCTAATAGCAACGAGAAAAATATCTCATCTTGCATGCCATTAATAGATCTCTGTAAATAGCTATTGCCAGTAGCACATAGCGACAGTAATGTCTAGGTGCTGGCAAACCCGTAACTGGCACACCAGTATTGGTATCGTGTAAACCAGCCTTTATACAAAGTAGAACTAGAGTACCGGCAGCATACAAGCGACCGACAGTTCGATGCACCGTTGCCACACATTATAACGCACATGGCACCACCTACACGGCAGATAAATGAAATCTCCAAACATTTAAACTTGCCGCCAAGCAATGACACTTCTTGATATAATGTTCATACCGTTCGCCACTGTCGAACCTTATCTTCCAAACCGCGTTTTCTTTCTGGTCTTGCCCGGTGTACACAACAAGTGAGTTAGAGTCCGCTCACTCAAACTGTCAGGTCATTTCTCTGGCGTGATTTCTTAATGTTGTGGGCCCTAACTGCAGCCGCAACTCGACCCACGTCATCCTGAGGTCATAATGTCTCGCCGTTCGCCTTTTCCTGAACAAGACTCTTTTAACACTACTCCGCGTCTGCATGATGTGTGGGGCATAGCCATCACAAATCTCACAACCTGAGTCCAGTGCACTGATGCTCGGAAGTCACGCATCAACTGGCCTGGCACGCATTGATAGAGGCACATTTCATTCGCACTGATCGCACTTCAGTAGAGACATTGTATTATCTTTACCAGGTAAAACCCTCATTCCAGGTTGCATTTCAATATCTGACAAAAACTTAAGATTCAACATTATGTACTCTGATAGTTTTGAAAATGTTTTGTAAACTGAGACAGTTTGGAAAAGTTGCAATGTCCATTTATCACAACAGTGTTGCTGGGTTGGAGAACATCAGATGAAAGAATTTTAGAGCTGAAGTCAAATAACGTTTTTATTTCCTCGTTGATACAAAACAATTTGTACTAGCAAATTAAGAAACAATTTTAAATGACTGTTTATTACTCTAAAAATGCTACTTCTCCATAAAACTAAATGTATTTATTGCACGTTTACAGTTTCAGGTGCTTTAGATTTTTCATTGTCAACAACAGCCACTTCACTTTCACTTTCTATTTCAGTTGACACAGGAATTTCCTGACGAACAAATGTCTTCAAACCAGGTTCTCTAGGAGGCATCCAATCAGGAATAATTTTGTCATGAAGGCGCCACAGACCATACTGATTTGATAAATGTTTTTCAAACACTACATATTCCAGCACATCTTTGGCCAATATTTCACTGCCATGCATCAGGCGCCCAAATCTATCATAAATTGCTAAAACCTATTATAAAAAAATAAAAAATAAAATGAATAAATTATTATTACTTTATACACATCCAGTATCATGTATTGAGCCATCTACATTTTCAGACCTGTTGAGAATGAAATCGCACAGTCAACTGTGCAAAAATGTTGTCTTTTGTTATAATATCTGTGCATCGAGCATGAACCACTCTAGGAGGTTCCAGAGACTGAATAAATTTCCAGTGGATAGTAGTGTTTTTAATGTTATGCATTATTTCCTAGAAAACAACAAACAAAAAAATTGTAAGGCCCCATTTTACAGCTGACAAATATATGTTCAAGTTCCTATTTACTTACTGGATATGCTCTCTCAGTAACAACTTCCCGCAATTTATATTTATCTTTGCTGAAAAATACAAATAGTAAACTTATTTTAAAGAATTTTAATATACAAAAAGAAAATAAATGAACTGTGTGGGTATAATTAATGGTAACTGACATTTCATGTTTTGCAGAGAAATGATATGCAACACTATCAGAATGTACAAGCTTATTATCACTGCCATTTGTTTTACATTCATGGAATCACTTGAAATACAGAGAGCACTTCTCCCACTCCTTCAGAAAGGCAATTTATTTTGATTGGGACCAAAACATCAAATACCATTATTTACATCCAAGTCTCATTTTAGGTAGCAAATATTAATAAAGCATTTCTTACTTTATCATGTAGGTATGCGCCTTTATGTATATATCTTGAGCTGACTCAGCAAATGCATGACGATTAAAATCTTCATCAAATGAACGTATCTTTCTAACAGCCATCACGGACTTGCTTTTCTTTTCAAAGAATTCAATTGTTTGCTTTGCACCCTACCACAAAACATTTCAATATGAACCAATGTCAATTTGACAAGTATATAAAGCGACAAGTTCTGAAGAAAATGCCAACAGTGGTCAAGAAAAATGTTGGTTTGAGCAAAAGAATATAAGAATAAGTAGAAAACGCTATCTCATTACTGATTAACCTTTTAACTTGCCAATTAAGAAATGAAAGAAGGTCAGAACATTTCCAATTTTTATTTGAACTGATATTTTATGTTTACTTTGAATAGTGATTGCTGACAACAATTAAAATTAAATAATTCAAGATATAATTTGGGAACTTTAAGAAATTGCTTATTTTAAAAGTCCTAGTACACTCATTCAGGTTCATATATACTTGTACATGCATAGAAAAAATTGTTTAAATCTATTATATTATATAAACTATTCATTTGCATGCTCTCCAGTGAACTCCTTGTGTACTTTTTAAAGAGCATACTGAAGATTTTACACTCGTGCAAAACATACCCAAATTAAAATACAATCTTCAATACATTTATTTTTTTAGAATGTTAAAATCCAATTAAGCATGAAAAGCAAAGGATTAATGTATTCTGTAGTTATAAAAAAATATCACTGAAACAAGAATTTTAAAGAAACTTTTGCAAATCAGAACAAAAATATTACCATTAACAAATAAATGTAAAAATACACTTTGAAGGATTAACAATAAGGAGAGAGTTAAAAATGTTTCTCTCATATTTTTTCTCTCCCCCACACACTTTTTCTCTCTTTCATATTTCAGATTTCTTTTATACAGAAAAGAATCAAAGAAATTTAAAAAAATTCGTCAAATTATTCTCAAACTCATTAACCCATATTAACTCCGAATTATCCCCAGCATTGAGGGAGATTAATAATACTTAAATACCCAGCATTGAGGAAGGGTAGTATGAATTTTGGAAATCCTGCTTATGGTTCTGCTGTTAGTTTTGTTCATCGGAAGACGGACAGGTTGAGGGTAGGTCAAGGACCCACAATACATGGATTCTGACTACACAACATGTTAGATGATGTAATATACTACATATTGGAACAAGAATTCTCCTCCTTATCCTCTTATATCCGTTTTTTCTGCAGCAATACATAACTCTATAAATATACAATGTATGTAGTTTGCGAGAAAGTAAAAAGAGAATGATTACAAGATCCTTTTGTATATTATGATGTACCTTTCAGATTGTATATTTGTGATTCACTTTTTCACCTGTAATATGATAGAAAATTTTCTCACTTGTTTCCATGATAAATTGATTTTTTGTGGAATGACATACACATAAAAAAATTCCAGGAAATATTAATAATATTGCAAGTTAGGAAAACAAAAGGCCCTACAGAGGGTAATTCCAAACTTGTGAAACCAAGGTTCTCCACCAGCCAAGCGCAACATTTGAGTTGTATTATGCAACATACATGATTGCTGTTTGTAGCATATCATTGGGTGTAGTGATATGATTCATCACGTTGCTTCATCCTCTAATTTTGCAGATGCAAATTACAACTAGACTTTTTTTATATTCTAGGTAGTTAAAAACTGTTGTACTGAATATAAACAATGTAACTGCACTATTTGTGAAGCCTATTTTTGATAAAATTTTTCATTTATTGCAGTGTTGTACGAGACATTTTATTTATTGTGCTTGAGCAGCATGCACGTTATTTTTGAAAAATCATTTTGTGTGGTTTTATTCAGCAGCATTTTTGCTGCTGCAAGCCAATAATGATAAGTAATGTAAGTAAATGGCCCACAACTTTTCTAGCTAAATTTCTTTGACTACCATCAATTAAATTTCTGTAACATATCTGCAGGAAACATTACTTAAATTTTATTTTTTATATGTAACCCAATTCAGCCTTTCAATGTATATAATATTTATTACATTTGCTCGTAGTTTGCATATTGTAATAACATTTGTTTTGACAAATTAAGCAATTCTTTTCGACTAACCATATTTAAATCAACATTAATTTTATTTACTGGCATAGACACACGCCAAAGTGGGGCATTATGCTAAACATTGGTTGTCGCTGAAGGGGTGTAAATTAGAACATTAGTAGATCTAAAATTCTGTGAAAGGAATTTCCACGAAACAATACATAGTAAATATGGTCAGTCAACTATTACATAAAAGGTTGTATAAAATCAAATGTCATTAAGGTTTCGAAAATGACAAAAGGAAATCTTCAAAATATCAGCAATTTGCTAATAGTCATGAGATATTCTGGGTGATGGGAGTTTTAGTTTACAAGCTACATAAGTAAAAAATTTGTGTTAAATTATTTCAATTATATCTATGCATATAGCGTAAAAAGGAGACCAGACAGGAGAAGCATTTAGCAAAATTTGTCAAATAAGTGTGAAATACATTATTTTCAATAATTTGGGATTAGAGAAGTCTGTCAACTTAAGGTTTACAAATCCCAGCATATGTAAAGCCTTATTTGTTATATGATCAATATGAAAATTAAATTTCTATCTGAAGTTCATTTCAATTTTAACTACACATTTTATCCCTTAAAAAATTAGTTGAACTAGATGAATAATCACTCACTGATGTAGAAATTGCAGATTTTTTGCCATCACCTTCTGGAGGTACATATGGTTCAAATATACCACCAGTACAGCTAATATGAACAGGTTGCTCCATCCATGGACGAGGAGGAAGTACACCTCTCTCTTTCATCTTAGTACGCACTTCCTCTTCAGAAAGTTCATTAGGATCTTCGTTAAATCGAGGTAAGTCAATTTTAATCACCTGCAGAATACAAGAGAAAAAGCGGAAAAATGAATACCACAAAAAATTTGAAAGTGCAATAAATGTTAAAAAGTTAAATAAAATACAATACTACAAATGTCTACACTTGGTATTATTATATCAGAGTAATAGTTATATTACATTTCACACATCAAAGATTTTTTGAAATCAGACTAATATCTGACATTGGAGAATATGTTCTTTCTCACCAAAAAGAATTACTTTATCAGTCTCTATATAGTTTGATGCATCAATATCAATTTTTACATAAATGATTAGTATCTACGCAAGTATCCATTGTTTACCATCTATATAATGAAAGCCTATAATGCATAAAGCAATATAAGGTTCCCAAAATTCCTCTCTAAATAAACTTTATTCCACATCACAAATGCAATTAATACTATTTATCAATAAATAGATTTCCAACAAGTGTAAATGAAAATATAACAATAGATTCAATTTATTATGTCTACTACTTACTTACTATTTACTTTTCAAGTCAAATTATATTGATTAATGTACTGTTTACTTCAGCAAATATCATTTCAAGAGAAAATAACAATGAATTACAGCAAAAATTTCTTAGACAAGTTATGTTATCAATTGTAAGAAATCATTTTTAAAGATTTAATAATTAAATAACAAAGATTACATTTTACATTTGTACATGAACAGGAGACATAAACTGATACGTATATAGAGATGAATATAAAATAAATGTATTATATATATGCAGAAACATTTCACAAAATACAGTTAACTTATTGCCTGTATATAACTACAATTATATTTCCATTGAATAACATATTAGGAATTATACCTTTTGTGCTCTCAACCTCTTGAATTTGGGATTCCAATGTTTAGCTCTGCGATACCGAACAAATTGTAAATTTACTCCAGTATTAACACAAGGAGCAAGCAAGTTTAATGGATTCATCTGAAATAGGAATTCATTAGTCTTTACATTGAAGTTCATTTCATATTTCTCACTGACATGAGAAAATAATGATTAAAAATAAGAAAAATTTACAAACAACCGCTTCGTTATTGCATTGCCCTCTGCATTTTAATAGAATGATGAAGCATGGTATTGTGTACCACACGAATGACGTAAATAAATACTTTTGAAATGTCCAATTTCACATAATATCCACAAACTACAGCAAAATTTTCTTACCTTCAAAAAATTCATTGCCCCAGACAGAACGACCGACTTGACAGTCGCCATAATTTACAATTTGTCAACAATATACCCTAATATTTAATTCAGTTCATTCACAATGTGCAATCACTATGTATATATCTGACAGATGTGAACATGTGCATAAGGTTTTTACCTATTATAATGACTACATATATGTATAACACAACGAATAGTTAGGGGCAGGTTAGGGGCGGGCAAGACAGCGCCGCATTCGCTGCTGTCTCTTAATCTCTTTGCAGTGCTTTGCAGTCTCTTTGCCAGGTCTCTCCTATATAGTATATACTCTCCGATACGGCTAGAGCACCCGATGGTGCAGTTATTGGAACTAATAGTACAGTACGACGTCACAACGTATGGCGGGAAAATGTAGTGTGGCAAGCTCTGGTGTGCTCGTAAGTAAACGTTTTCTAAGCAATTGTTAAATTTTTGGTTGTATCAAACGGTGGCCTCATCACTTATGTTATTTACAATGACATTTGTCTTCTTCCGGTTTGTTTAAGTTCTGGTTACGTATTTCGTTCAAAAATTTGCTTTAAATGTTCTATTTTATTTGACATACGTTATGTTTTATTTTGAAAATGGTCCGACGAACGTCGGGCCCCTCTCTGCTATTCTTATAGAAATGAGCCCTACCGTATATTTTTATAACGGCTTTTTAAATATTTATTTTAGAAAATTGTATCCATTATTATCATCGAGAGAAATACTACCTACGTTAAACTTTAATAATCCAGGATGTTCGTAATTTTTCACAGAGTGGAGGAACATTTACCACTACGTTAATTAGAATTCATATAATTTAACGTATTAAGTTTTCGAACCATTAATTATAATAAATATTTGGTTATTTAAAAAATATATATACATTTACATTTTTCATTGTATTTTTTAAAAACTTGTTCGCAGTTCTTGTATTGAGTTCAAATTTTGATTGTTGAACTTAAATTTCAAGGCACGCGTAATTCCTAATGATTTTCATGTTAACATTTTTTATCGAACGTATTTTCCCTTATCTTTTGCTTACCAAGCTGTGAAGAACATTTGGGGCCATTTGTTGTGATATAATTAGTACACATGACTTGATAACACTGGTGGCAGAATTAAACAGTTGATTTGGTGAGCTACGTAATATTTAGGCTTAACTCTTACACCAATAAAATATTAGTCGCTCATACATATTATAATGATCCTTGTGCAATATGTTCAGGAAAGGTATGCAAATTACAACTTACATATTGTGATAGATATGTCCTTTTTAAATGGTTGTTTGTGTTATTGCAAAAAGGTGGAAAACCTACATATGTTTGCAGCTGTAACATGTACATGATAATGAACGGGAAGTGTCTATTTGATAAAAGCAGTGGTGGCTCTGGGATTAGGCAACAGGGAGGGCACACAAAGTTACAGGAGCAAACAATGTTAGGCATTTGAAAAATTGTTATATTTGGATTGTTTAAGTCACATAAGTAATATTGACAACCGAATTATCTCCCCGGAAGTCAACCTAAAAACATGATCTATAAATTAAATTGAGTCTTCTCTTGTTACATTCTGTAAATCTATTACTAATTCTTCAAAATTAAATGAGTCTCGTAACAAAACTCTTTGTAATAAAAACATACAAGTCCATTCAATCTCTCTTCCTATATGGTATTTCTTAAAAATGTCTATAATCTTTTCAAAGTGAAAACGCTCTCTCAGATTCTTTTATATAACACATCCAGCTCAGATTTCAGTTTGCTAGTTCACGAACGGAGAGTACTGTGAAACGCGATCAACCTTTTGTAGAAGGAAATATTCTTGATATTGTTGGAACGTTTTACAGTCAAAGAGAGAACACAAGGCTAAATTCCCCCTAGTCGCCCATTTTTATGTCAGTACGTTCCATAACAACACTGTGTTTAGGACACAGAGACAAGTGTCCGCAGCCAATGAAAATCGTCCTACGGAACAACCGGGTGATTGAAAACTAAAGAAGTGTTCGATTCGAAAACAGCCCTACAGACTCACAGAGGTTATTTTAGACAGCGCAAGGGGAGAAATACTGATCTCAGTATGGGGGGGCAGTGTCTCTAGCACCTCCCAGCCGCAGCCGCCACTAGATAAAAGATGTTTGAACGGCGAAGTACGAAGATGGGTGGTACCTGTAAAAGACCACTATTAACTTGAAATAACTATCCAACTTTTCTGGCTTCAAAACAGAAATCCACCTTTGTACTCTTTGTTCCGAGGGTACTAAAATTTTACTCTTCTGATTTCTGGGAACAGTAAGGAATCTAAATAAATATTTATTTCGTCTCTCCACCGTTTGCCCCACTCGACTTGCGCACACAACCTGGTTATAGTGACAATACTTATATTGTCACTTATATAGAAAAAAAATTCACTGCGAGAAAACGTATCCATGAATAAATATGTTACTCTATTGTGAACCTACATAAAACAAACACGTTTTAAAACTATTGTAGGTAGAGGAAAACCTCGAACCAAGAATGATTTGACATACTGGAATAAAATCGCCACATATAACGTATTTTAACCATTAGCTCGTGGCATCCAGTATCTATCACTTGCCACCCATAAGCGGCGGTGCTGCCCTCAGAAGATCTAAAAGTCAAATGTTCTGGACAATTCTATTGGGAACACTCAAAGAAAATAATTGATACCACAGCGCTCGTGTAGAGAGTACAATTTTCATGATGTTACTTGCATTATGTTTTCGTGCGACCTCCATTCAGTCAAAGAACATGGAAGAATTGTTCCGTACTGAATAACGTAGGAAGTTTAAAACCTTAGGATAAGAGAAAAGTAATTTTCTGAGTAAATTATGAAATAATAACAGCAGAAATAGAAAAGAACTCATATTTGACCCGAATAAACGACAAGTTCCATGCTATAATAGCCAAACAACTCCTGAAACATCCTGAACTATAAGGTGTTAAAAATATTTTAATACCAGACGACGGGAAAAATAGAAAACTCATGATACGGCAGAACTAAAAGAATGGATCCCCTTACCACAACAGGAGTAAGAACAGTGATCGTTTCACCTAAACCAAAGAAAGGAAGACTGAAGATCTGTACAACGAAGACCTGAGAGATGAAAACCGTCCAAAATGTTCTATCCGTATGGACAAAATATTCAACAAGCATCAGCTAAGGTTTTTCAGGGCATCAGCATGTCATTGCAGTATCCGACCGAGAGGTCCTTGGGTTCGAGTTCCGACGGTGGCAGGATTTTCGACACTAGCTAGATAGTAGAGGTCTGCATTCTCCGCGACTTAACCGGCCTGCACTTAACTCCAAAATTCGACTACCCGGCGCACTGGAGAACTTGAAGTGAAACTACGAAAGTTCTACATGGTAAATAAAAGACAGAGATTCACGTGTTTCAGATAAAATTCGTTCTTTGTAATGACTGGACATCGGATGTTAAGAAAGTTGCCTATTTTATTCCCACGAACATTTTTAAAGGCTGTTGGTATGTATGAAAGAATAATAAAACATTAACAACTCTAACGAGTACCTATTTTGCTTATTTTCACGTAAATGTATTTCAAGGGCACGGAAAATTTAAATTTTTAAGCCTTTTTTTCTAGAAAATGTATTTTTATTTTCTTCTAGCCTTGGTTAAAAATTTAACTTTAAATCATTTTCACTTTTACTTATCCCATTCGATCGGTATTGAACCTCCTCTTTTGTCTAGTTCTAGACCGAAGATGTCATTTGGTAAGAGTTTGACATTCTGTATATTTTAGAGACCAAGAGCTCGCTTTGTTCTCAATTTAAAAATAAAAAAAGAGAAAGAAGAAGTTATGGGTCGTAGGTGACCGGTGGGTAATGTATGAGCGCAGGGCCCAGATCCGCGACGCAAACGTATCACTCGCGTTTCGGGGGCAAGTCGATAGCACCTACTTCCGATATTGATATCTCACTGTCCCAGATGTTCTTCCAGGAAGGTAAAAAGAAATGAAGGAAGTCTGTGTTAATTAAAAGAATCAGATGTTAGGTTTCTTTCATACGCCAGTGATGGAAATTAAAGACGATTGGAACATTTATTTTTGTCCTTTCTAGGCATATACTAAATTACAACCGCCGAAGCGCTGCCCACGCCCTCTCACTACGCTACATGCCAGAGGCGAGGAGATGCCACACCCGCTTCGCTTGCGGTTACGTCGCGTTATAGCGACGCGCCCTCAGTAAAGCCGAAGAGGCGTTGCACGCACTCGCCCAGTCGCTGCAAGCCTGGGGCGAGGAAATGTCGCGCACCTGCTTCCATAGCTGTGCCGCCGCGTCACCCTCACGCGCCCTTGGCAGGGACCTCGAAGGCGCTGCACACATCTGCCACCGCTGCGTCGCAGTGTCCGCCCCTCCCGACCAGTGTCCGCGCCCGAGACTGGACGGAGGATGCTAATGATTAGTCAAGCATTGCTCGCTCGTTTGTTGGTTGTATTATTGTAGTTTTTGTTTTTGAAGGAATACACGTTTGTTGTCATTCACGAGTACATACATTCAGCTTAGACCTTCCCACCTGTCTGAATGGTGACTTGCAGGAGCAGTGACTGCGTCCTATCCTTTTCCTGGAGAGAAAATTAAATAAATTTGACATCTCCCACTACCCTCCACGAACAGGGAGAGCAAGGCGGGAGTGACGCCATTATATATTATTATTATTATTATTATTATTATTATTATTATTATTATTATTATTATTATTATTATTATTATTATTCGCGTACGGGCCACTAATAACCACGCAAAAAATTCTCTCCGAGGCCTAGTTGTATTCTGTACTGGAGATATCAACGTGTGGAACTATGGGGATCAGCCTATCAGCTGCGTCCCTTGGCTAAGACAAGTAAGACAAGATTGAATAACAAACAGGGGGAGATGATAATATTATATTATCATTACTTTTATTATTATATTAGGGTGATGATGAGGGGTGAAATGACTGGGATGATGGTAGATGTTAGGCGGGGTAGTGGCAGGTGGGAGGTTTCATGGGATTTACGCATCATACCAGCATACGCCTTGTGATCTTGTGTATGTATGTATATATATATATATATATATAGTGACGAACGCCGCGTGTGAATAGGTTCGTCCCACATGCCTACACGTCGTAAGAACGCCTGTGGCAGAATGGGTGAGCGAGCGCGGCGCAGTTCGAAAAGGCCGCGCCCGCCGCCAAGGAGATGGTTGCCCGCTGTGCCCGCGTGGAATCAGTGGAATGACGTGGAATCAGTCGGAGAGGGGGAGACGCCGCGCTACCCCTAATCGGAGGGTGCGTCCTTAAATACGCGAAGCCACGAGCAGTCAATATCTTTCGTTCCCGCTCGCCAAACCAGCTGCACTC